TGAAGCACTTCGTAGTGAACAATATGAACAAATTAAACCTTGGCTCCCATATTTAAAACTTTTTCATAATGCTATATATAAATTACCTGAACGTGCAGGATTACATTGTCGTGTAGTAAGTGGTAATATCAAAATTGATCTGTATCGAGTCGATTCCTTCGTAATTTGGGTAAGTAATAAAACTGAAAGATTCTTTATTTCAATTAAAGTGATCCGAGTTTTAAAAAAAATCAAAAGAAATGTACTATCACATATGACATAAAGCAAAATTTTTTTCAAGAACTCTTTATTAGAGAAATTCCTTAAAATTATTCCTTTTAATGAGTTCCTTGTTAATTAATCTTCTTCGATTTTATTTTCTTTATAGGGGGACATTCCATCATTAATAACGAATTGGGAGGTATGTATGTCTCTTGCGAATAAAACAGCCATCGAAGAACAACACGGAACTATTTTCTGGATTACAACAACATCAGCAAGAGATTTATCAATTTTATCTTTGAATTCCACTGAACAAGAATTGATTTTGTTACCAGGAACCCGTTTCAAGGTTATGAAGAACAAGAAACACGCGCTCTTCAAGGGAATCAATGAAATTCATCTTATTGACACAGCATTCGATGTCAATAGTGAGTTGTTTTTTGTTTTCTAAAATTATTATTCGTATCTTCAAAAAAATAAGTGAAGAAACATCAGTGCTAGCCGTTGAATGTGAATATTGAACAAATACATAACAAACACAGATAACGTCATTAGAATAGAAAAAGTGTCCGTTCGGCTTCATATTTTTCATCAATATATGCTCTGACTTTGAAAAGTAAAATCAAAATTGCATTATTTAGACTTAACTTGTTTCATACAGATGTTTCTCAGGTTACATATTTAAGTTCTAAAAAATTGTTAGGCTGATCTGAAAAACTTGAAGATTTCAAGTGTTAAATGATTCTGATATTCATATTTCTTTTGAGACGATTTACAAAAATCTGAGAGAAAAAAGTAAATGTAAACCTTTTTCAAGTTGTTTCTGTCAATCAATTAGCAATCATCAAGAAAAATGATGATTGATCGACTAGCTCGAATATATCTGAAATTTCGACTGATGATTTTGACAGCCTTATGAGCAAAGTGAGATGAGGACTCATGGCAATGTAAATATTACAAAACATGAGGAAAGAGCTGAAATCAAGTTTTTTTAAAATCAACTTAAAAAATTAATTTAAAAGATTTTTTTTATTGATTTTTTGATTTAGAGTTGCCGTTTGTCTTCAGTCAACTATTTAATACAATCGAATAAAATCCGTCGAATACTAAATCAACGAAATGAAAATAATTGAAAAATAAAAAGCATTGAACTTTGTAATATAATAATAAATTCTGTCGTCTAATATGTGAAAAATTTTCTTTTCATCAACAAATTTTAATTTATAGATTTACATTATGAGAAAATACTTAACAGCAAGTCACAAATTGTTAACAGACAGCCTTGTTGAATTTTCAGATTATGATAATACTTTTAACACACTACTGATAAAAGTAAAAAATACAGCTATTTTCTCGTTGACAAAAATCCGTAGGTATTTCAAAGAAAAATTTTGATTTTAATATTGTCATATAGTGAAAACAAATATATTCAATACTATATTTGTTTTCTCTCCTTTTCTTTCGTTCTCTTTAGTTTTTGTTATACATTCTGAGTAGCTAGATAATACATACACTGTTTCGTTCTTTCTCCTATTAGACTTTTATATCTTTTGGTATCAAAATCAATATAATTTCCAGTTTTGTCACTTATAATGAGCAATGGTTAATTGGTAAAGGAGATATCAGAAACACATCTACAATCTGTTTGCGTACAATGGGTGTGGATGCGGGTATTGTCTTCACACACAGTACACCCACAGCCACAGCCACCCCACACTCACAGCCGACCCACACCCAAAAGACATGTGCACTGCACATTTGAGCATCGAAGAGATTGCGCTAACAACTTTTTGTTTAGATTGAGCTTAGTTTAAGACTGCTAAAATGTAAAGCAGATAGCTCTGAAAAGTAAAGATGCTATATATAGACGCCTTTGTGGATCCGAGTTTAGATATTTTTTTCTCAAGTCTTTTTCAGTTCTAGCCAGTACGATGAGAACTGGAAAAATGTTTCAAACATTTCGACTGAATTTTTCTTCAGTTTTAATAGGAATTCATGCGACTAAGAATGGTTCACGAAGCAATGGAAAAAAACCATTCCTATTACAGCTCTTCTTTTAACAGAGAAGAAACCTTTATAATCTTATGAAACGAAAAAGTAATCAAAATGAGAAACCCACCAAATAATGTTCTCGAGAAGGATAGACAGAGAGCATCGGTACTAAGTACAATTCTTAAGTAAAAATTTCATGTACTTTTACTTCAAAAAACGTACTGGTACTTAAGATTTCCACGTATTAAGTACGAAAAGTACTAAGTATTGTACTAAGTATCCAACGTCTGATGTGTTTATAATAGTTCTGTATCTACAGCAAAGGGAGTCCTAGGGCTTCCAGAAAGCTGCTTGGTTCTCCAAAATGCTACAAGATAGAACTTTCGTTTATATCTAGTATTGTAGAGGAGACTGTGGGCTATCTA